GGAATGAAATAAAACTTTTATCCAAGACTAATTTTCCGAAACATATCAGAATTAAACTCTAAAACTTGGTCTTTATACTAACAAAAAAAAATGTTTTTTTTGACTTTGTCTCTCCTGTATTATGGAATTCAGCAGTTGCCACTTAGGAGTATCATCAAGTAGTAACATCCAAAAACAAAAATAACATCCAAAAATTTGACATGGTATGGAACAATAACATAAGGGTTGAATCTGTAAGACATTATAATACGTGGGTCTATAATTAATTTATCCACAAGATGATTTATTCTTCGTGTTCTTTTTTCTTTTGTTAAAGCTTATTCTCTGTGTTCTTTTCTTGAAGATAGGTTGTGTTGTTAATTAGATATCGACATATCGTTGACATTTTGTCCAGGCGAATCCGACGTGTAAGAATTTTAGATTTGGATTATACCGAAATTAAACTCTAATTAGTAGTCGGAACCGACTTAAAATATTATAATTAAGTTTAACTAAACAATATATTGAACGTCTGTCCGTTGATGTTGTACAATATATACTACCTAAACCCAATTTATTTGACTAGGCACTATGTATACTATTATTTATAAAAATATATATCCCACGTACTATGCAAGTAGTTGGTGATTATTCTTCATATTGTTAATTTATCTTCACAAGAATACCTTTTTATATAATAAGATGTTAGTTAATTGGATTAAGTTAGTGATATCACGTTCTTTGTTAAACCAAAAACCAGACCGATTCTTCCGTGGGTTTGGACATGTTTTGGATTTGGTCGGCAACTCGTTTTGGACATTTATTTGCCAAAGAATCAATAAAAGTTGATTCTATTCATACACAACTTTATCATAAACACATGTAATCGGTTTGAGATCCAGGAAAAAAAAATACGTATTGGAAATTCTGACAGAACGTAGATATCTTACAAAATATGAGAATATATATATACTTGTATCAATTTTGTACGTGTGCATATGGTATACATACAAGTAACGGGGTG